GCCAGACGCTGCAATTCAACTTCCAATTCTTTAAGTCTTACTGCTTCACCAGAAGTTTGACATGACTGCTCGGGAGTTTCTGGAACACTCTGAAGCTGTGGCAAAATGCCCTTTTCCACCAATGCAGCAAGTAACTCTGCCTTAACAGCCTGCTTCTTCATTTGTCTAGAACAGCTAGCTCATAGTGATCAGCAATCAACAGCAGACTTTCCTTAGTACACCGATTAAACCCCTCTAGAGTAGGACACTCAATAAACTCCACCAGTTTAAACTCCATCATAAAGAGAACCACCAAAATGAGACTACAGCACAAAAATCAAGCAGCCTCAACACAACTGCAAAAAAAACCCTGACTCACAATTTACTGCACCCCACAGTACAGCACTAGATCCATTTCACCAGAAAGCCAACTCTGTCCATAAAATTACCCAACACGCTAAAGGGCAATACATAGTACAAAAGGCTATAAACACATCCAGATAGGTCTGTGGCTGGAACACTGTTTGCTCAAGGGCCACTTGTGGTTGAGGTGATTCTCAATGTTAAAAAAACTGTTTTAATGACTGCATTTCCACAACCAGGGTGCCGGAAATGACGTGTCCTTGGTCCTTTTGTAAAACAGAAGAAGAGTCAGGGGGACAGGGGCTCCTGAGCTGAGCTGAAAGCTTGTTCACCTTAACCCACCTTCTCCTGTCACACAGAAAGCTCCAGATCCAGAGGAACAAGAAGGAGTGTTTGTGTTCCCTACAAGTCTGAAATAGGTCACCTTAAGTTCAGTTTCATTTAGTTTAAAGCTCTAATGTCTTAAATTAAACAAAACACATTATTTACATCATTTAAACTTTCAACTATTTCCGAGTTCCAACGTTTTGACCAAAACTCCTTTTAATTCTACCTGTTCAAGCCAAGTGACAGATGCATATAAAAACGAACAAATCCTGTTAAACACACACACACACACACACACACACACACACACACACACACACACACACACACACACACACACACACACACACTCATAAACGTAGAGGGGAGGAGAAACAATGAGAACAGGTAGGAACCTGTAGCTGAAATAGTTCAGTCCTTTCAGACTCCAGTTAGAGTCCCAGAACTGAAGGCTGAGGCAGGGTGAGTGTTAATCCAACATTTTATTATGTTACTGTCAAAGTCCGTTTTCTCCCTGTGGACTGGAGAGGAAAGAAACTTTAGAGGGACTCAACACTTTGTGTGTGTTCATGTGGGTTTCATGTTCTTATCCTAAATGCACACCAACCCAATCGTGTTAAGACAATTTTAAAGCTTTCTTGGTTTAAAGGTTAACTTCAGGTTAGGGAAAGTGATCTCAGTTTTGGGTGTGACCCCTGCCTGAACAGACTTGTTTCATGGAACACAATTCTATAGCTGAATTACATGTAGCGAGGGTCATTTGTGGAAATGATGGATAACTTGTAGATGTAATTTAATCAATCCAGTATAATTTAACAATCTTCTGCCTTTGCTGTACCTGCTGTACCTCAATGGCAGCCTGAAACTGTCAGCTGATTCAAAAACTGAAAATTAACATGTAAAAATACAGTATGAAGGAAAGATACTGGATGTTTTACCAGATTTATGTGTGTGTATAAACATATTTGGTTTGTAATGGACATGGACAGTGTGGCTGAAAACTGCAGTAAGCTTGGAAACTAGTTTGTTCCGGAAAGGATGAGTTTTGGGCTACAGTGCAGCCGGTTGCAGTGACAAACACGCAGTGTATAAAACCATAGTAAATTAACAAATGGGATTGTTTGTATGTCTGTGTTTTCAGAAAATGGATTAAGAAATGATAAAAGAAGTGGTGTCATTCTTACCATGTCTCTCTGGTGAAACCTTGACGTCACTGCTTGATGGATTGCAAGAGCTTGGTGTGGGAAAACCTCAGACCTATTCAGTGAAGAAAATACTAATGGATTTGAGGGTAACTATATTTCAATACTGTGCCATGAAAATTTTAATAAATTATAATAAGTTATAAAGAGTGGTTCTATAGTTTACATTTGTATTATTTAAATGGTTTCTGAATCACAGTAAAATCACCTTGTCTAAACTGAGCTAGTTTTGCTTTGGGCAGTGACCCACTGAAGCTGTGGTGAGTGGGATACCTTTTTCATCCCACTTGAATGAAACTAAAAGCTTTTCTTTTGGCTTTTTGGTATTTAGGGCTGTCTTGGACATTAATCTAGGGACAGGCACAAAGTGAAAGAGGCAGTGAGGACATATCAACCAACAGGTGTGTACTCTGATTAGGAAACTTGAGTGGAGGTCAATGCAGACACTGTGTGACAATACATTCAAGTTTTTAATATTTCAGTTTTATTTATGTAACCCAGAATAAATAGTATACTGAGTTCATTATAAGTAAATTTGATATTAAAAGTCATGGCATATTGATGGTAAACATATGGTTGTATTTTTGTTAAAACTGTTGTATGTTGCACATGTTATTTGATAAATAACTAAAAGATAATGCTTAGTTAAAAAAACATGTTATGACGAGTTAATGGGTTGTATATTCAACTTGTCTATCTGTGGTAATTGTGCTGGCGTCTAAGGTTTTCATTGGTTGATGCCAGTCAGCAGGTGCGGAGCGCTTGATCAGGTGGTGAGCAGGTGCGGCGGTGTGCTTGATCAGGTGGTGAGCAGGTGCGGCGGTGTGCTTGATCAGGTGGTGAGCAGGTGCGGCGGTGTGCTTGATCAGGTGGTGAGCAGGTGCGGCGGTGTGCTTGATCAGGTGGTGAGCAGGTGCGGCGGTGTGCTTGATCAGGTGGTGAGCAGGTGCGGAGTGCTTGATCAGGTGGTGAGCAGGTGCGGCAGGGGCGGGGTTCAGTGTGTGAGCAGAGGAATGGACAGAGACGAGGAAAAAAAGAGTTGGGAGAACTGTGTTAGCTTTGCAGACGAAGTAAAGTCTTTAACTAATGTTCATACCAAGCTGTGGACTAATTTCGGGATTATATCTGCTAGTTCAGGGGAAGTGGAAGAATCCACCGAGGAGTCTTGATTGGCTGTTTCACGGGGTATGTAATGCTGGCTAAATAAAGTAGCACAGTAAGCTACATCTCCTCTTCACCCAGCAAAGGTTAAAATCAAGGGAAACCGGATTTGGTTGAAGATACTGGAACACGTTTTGTCCCTCATCCAAAGGACTTCTTCAGTTCTGCCCTTGTTTTTAACCTTCGTTGGATGACTATGACCTGGATGACTGAGAGTCTTCACAGACATCTTGCTCCTCTTCCAGTTCCTTTGAGGATATCAATCTGTATTACAGAGTTTGTATACTTTGCATTGTGGCTTCTCATCATTGTTTTTCTGTACCACTGGGTCATGGTTTGCAATTAACTCGAATACTTCTAAAAAGTTCCCCGTGTCATCTGCCCCTTCTATCTCACATGACCTCGTTGGCAAAATATTGTGTTGCAGTTAAAACAACATCAGCCACTTTTTTTTAATGTACTTTCATTTCTCTTGGACCTTCTTCTTGTATGCCTCATTATGGCATCATGTATAGAGGAGTCATGGAGTACTGGCTTCTTGTGCTCCCCCCATACAAACATAGCATTGACATGATCCTCTGACTTATTATGTGCTTTGAAGACAGAATGGAGGATCAGCTTAGTGAAAAGTTTGCAATATTACATTATTCATTATTCTCTTATACAGCAGTTAGCATTTCCACATAAAATGCAATCAAAACAATCAGTCAGCACCATCTATCCTCATACTGTTTAATATTTTTGGACTCATCACTTATAATATATTGATTAAAATGCATGGGAGTAGTAAAAATGCAACATAGTGAACTGTGTCATCAGCTTTTCTCCTGGCTGGACTGTGGACGTTGGCAATGTATAATCACATTGCCACACTACAAACTGTCTGTAGCTGCCTGACTGAACTGTCTGTTACTCTGTCCTGGGTCTGGAAGATCAGCCATGTGTGGTAGATGGAAACACAGTAGTCTGGATGTTGTCCACAGTCCTCAGATTCTGACCTGTAAAGGAATATATAGTTGTCAGAACCCCAAATTGGAAAGATCTGTGTAATAGGAAAGAACATTCATCAACATGATTAGATATTTTTATTGAACAGGGGTTTGTTGTTCTCTAACAGCACTTCTGTTTCCACATTACACACCAGGTCAATGTACATGACACAGATGAGCCGATGGCTGAAGAGCTGTTAGTTAGTTGTGGTGTAATCAGTAAAATAAAAAAAGAATGACTCGCCTTGACCCCGGTCCTGTACCAGTCTGTGCTTGGCTCTAAGGTGCAGCCCAGAGAAAATGCTGCAAAACTACGTACATGTTATGAGTATAACACATTGTTGTTGGTGGAGCTAGGATGATTTTTGTGTATATGTGTGTGATTATTTCTATTAAAACTATTTTTAGCTAAGCTTTTTTTTTTTTTTTTTTGAAGAAATAGCTTTGAAAATCCTTGCTTCTCTTCATAGTTGTTATCCCTGGGGGAAATAATAATAATAATAATCATCTTTATTTGTAGAGCACTTTTCAAAAACAAGTTACAAAGTGCTTTAACAAGTGTAAAGACAATAATACCCCAAAAACATAATACAAAAACAATACAAGATAAAAGCATGAAAACATTGAAAAGACTAAAATACACGTTTAAGATAAATATAAAATAAGTAAAATAAAATAAAAGGGATAAAATAAAGTCAAGTAAGATCGGGAAAGGCTCTCCTATAAAAGTATGTTTTAAGAAGGGACTTAAAAGAGTTCACTGACTCAGCCGACCTGATTTCCTCGGGCAGGCTGTTCCAGAGCCTCGGGGCCCTGACAGCAAACGCTCTGTCCCCTATAGTTTTCAGTCGAGACTCTGGAACAGACAGCAGACCTCTGCCCGAGGATCTCAAGGTACGTGCTGGTGCGTATGGGACTAAAAGGTCAGAAATATAACAAGGCGAGAGGCCATGAAGAGCTTTAAAAGTGATCAATAGAATTTTAAAGTCAATTCTAAAACACACTGGGAGCCAGTGTAATGAAGCTAAAAGCTTTTTCACATAATTTCATTATTTTCTGGCTCGCTCCCTCTGTCTGTGTCTCTCTCTCTCTCGTGAACACCGCTGCACAAACCTGTCCAACGTTAGAATAACACCCCCCCCCCCACCATTCCCCATTCTGTGGGAAACACTGGAAAGTAATAGGCTATAGTAACGTAAGTAGTTACTTTTATCACCCAGTAATAAGTAACTTTTTTTAAAGAGTAATAAGTAACTAGTAGCCTAATATGTGAGTATTAACATTGGATTTATTTAGGCTAACATATTCTCCATCACCCAGCCAGGTTTCAGTAAGACCAAATAAATCAATATCATAATCTGATATTAGTTCATTTACTAGTACACCTTTAGAAGAGAGAGATCTGATGTTTAAGAGTCCACATTTAACTCTCCTATTCTTTTGTTCTGTTGCACTTGTGGTTTTAATTTTTACAAGGTTTTGATACACAGCTCCTCTTCAGTTTACCTTTGATTCTGCCTCCTGGTCTCAACTCTGCATTGTCATGGATTTGGTCCACTAATAAACTTGGTCAGATTTCTAGAAATGAGAGCTGCTTCTTCCCAAGTGGGATGGATGCCGTCTCTCCGGATCAGACCAGGTCTTCCCCAGAAAGTCTGCCAGTGTTGTTGTCTGTTGTTTCTTGTATTCTGAGCTCACAGCCAGTGTTACCGTTTTACCTCTCAGATTGAATGAACTCCAGAAGATGAGTGTTTGTGTGGAGGAAGAGGAGGACAGAGCAGAGTCTGCTGTATCCAGCTGTCTGTCTATGAAGAGTGACCGATCTAAAGAGTATACTCCAAACTTCAGCAATGGACCTGGACCCTCAGACACAAAGTAAGAGAACGTTGCACAACAATGTTTTAATACTGAAAAGGTAATAAGGAATTTAATTAAAATAGACTTTTTCCTTTACTTGAAATCACTACTTACCTCTTTGAGGTCGATGTCAAGATCATCTTAACAACGACCCCACAGAGGTTTGGTATTCACAAAGGTTAGAATGATCTCAAAAAGTGTTTGTTGTTCTTGTTGCAAGTCTTGTTTCTGAACAAACTTGTTTCTGTTGTTTCTTGTGTTCTGAGCTCACAATCCATTCAGGAAAAGGTATTGTAGCCCACACACATAACAGCTTTCATTACTGTTCTAAGTATAGTTCATGCAGCAAAGGGGTCTACTATCCAAATCATTTTCAAAATCTAAATATCGTTTTATAAATAAGCTCTTTTTCACTTTAATATCGACATCGGCCCCCAATTGTTTGGTATCAGTTGAGTTCTATTGCTATATAAATAAAATGGATTGGACTGGATGAAGGCTTGTGGTGCTCAGTCAGCAAATAGGTGTGATATACTGTGGAAAAACTATGGGGTCTTAAAAAACTTCCGTTCGACAACTCTCTTGCGGCATACACAAATTACATCCACTAGTCTATTTTACAATCTCCTAATACGCAGTCACCTGTTTGACATCTCCCTGATAGTAGAAAGAATGCCGGCGTGGGTGAAGAGGCTGTGTGCCCAAATGCACGACACAGGAGCAGGAAGATGCAGTGGATGATATTTTATCAAACACAGGAACAAACTGAGGTACACAGGCTTACTTGCAGGCAGAGTCCAATTGTAAAGAATCCTTCAACAAATCTTGATTCAAAAAGGCAAAGATCCAAACGAACAGGCAAAGTATAAGTGATAAGTGACACGACGAGCTTAACTTGCTACAATGAACCACAAAGACTGAACAGAACACAGGCATTAAATACAACAGCAAAATAGGAAGCTAAACTAGACCCTGACCGCAAATGCAGAAATCTTCGGACTACAACAGGAAACGGAGCACATCACTAAAACATGGACTGAACAATAGCACTCAGACCAAAATGTAACTTCCATCCTCACCTCCTCCATCACCATCTAGCGCATCATTCGCTCTGCAGAGAAGGTGATTGGCTGCAATCTTCCATCACTTCAGGACCTGTACGCCTCCAGGACTCTGAGGCGAGCAAGAAAGATTGCAGCTGACTCCTCCCAACCTGGACACAAACTGTTTCAGACTGTCCCCTCTGGCAGGAGGCTGCGGTCCATCAGGACCAAAACCTCTCGCTACAAAAACAGTTTCTTCCCGTCTGCAGCCTCATTAACAAGACCCGGGTCCCCCACTGACACTTCCCGCCTTGCAAATGATACAAATGTCTCTGCACATGAAAATATCGTTTCATCTCGTGTTGGGCTCAGACCTTTCCAGCAGTTGGTGAAACACACATACATTTTATTAATGAACACGCTGTGACCTACATTGTACATTTTACTGCCAGACTGACAACAAACTTGCTCGCCTTTTCCATCAATTTCTGCTGCTCACTCTCTTCATTCGCTCTGCAGCACTTACTCGCTACAAACACATACTGCACATAAGACACATGCATGAAGACCACATAAACCCCACTGCTCTTATAACAGTAGCTGTCACTGTCAAGGCTGTGCCGTGTTTTCAGGCAGGAACAGGTATTAGGACCCAAATGCAGGACACAGAGGCCGAACAGTTATAGTTTCTGAGTATTTCTTAAAGCCAACAAAACTTACGGTAGTCTCCAAAACTCAACAAAGGTAATCCACAAACAAAGGTAATCCAAAACGAGCAACAAAAATACTAAGTTCATGGAACACAAAGCAAAGTCCAAAACAATCCAGCAGGTAATACTCCAAAAAGTAACAGGGACCAGGAACAGACAGGTAACAGACAGAAGATATAAAATGAACCCTCAATAGCTGAACAGAAGCATTTAAACACAGGCTAACGAGGAAGGCGGGAGCACAAACAGGTGATACTAATGACAGCAGACAGACACTGACAGGCAGGGTGATGGACAGACAGATACCAAGCAGAGGGCTGTTTCATAAAAGCAGAGTTTAGAAATCCAGGATAAGAGATAAAGCTAGGCTTGACCTAGTGTGATCAGTGCATCCTGGCTCAACCAGGCTCAGGGGGAGCGGCTACGTCCAGCCAGGTGGAAGTACTTCAGATAAATGGGCATCAGCACTTTCTTCAAGAGACCACATGGTCACAGATTCATTGATGCTGAAATGGAAAAGAGTGTGCCGCATACTTTATTTGCTGTTACTCACTGTGTAAAGAATGTCTTTGATGAAAAAATGCACATAATTAAATTATGTATTAAGGTGAGTGTATTTCAATAAAAAAAATCATCAACCAGGTTTGTCTCATGTGTGTGTTAATGGGGGATCAAATGATGATTTATATTAATTAATTTCCTTTCCAATAATTATGTAAGTTTGAGTTGGACAAATGTTTATCAATTTCATTTAGTTAATGTAATTATTTCAGCTGTATTTGATAAACTTTAGGTAGACTAACTCAATTACATACTGTTCTAAGTATTTGATAAAAATAAGACATTTATGTCTTACACCGTCTGTTTTTACAGAAAAATTATTAATCTGATTCTCTCACGGTTTTATGTCTGTTAAAACAATCTGATGATCTGTATATGGGACCACAATCTGAACAAATGCCTGAAGTACTCTGCACATGACAGCCATCAGAAAAACACACGTTGCAAAAATGTTTACATTCATGGCAGTCTTTACTTGAATATCATTTATAGCAGAAATCACTGAATACTGTGTTTTTCTCTATCAGGTAAAAGTGATCGTCGTGCAGATACAACCATACTGTTTTAGGATGTATTTGTTCATGCGTCTGATACAAATCCAATTTCTTTGTGCCGCGATTGTGATGAAACACGATAATTTTAACATCCAAAAAGCGTTCAAATTTAGATACATCAGCTAGGGCGACTTTATGGTCTGCGTTAAAGTCAACATCTGTATGAAGTTGTTGCGCATGCTGGCCGAGTTGTACTTTAGACATGTGAGGATGCAGAGAGCAGGAGATGCAATAAGAAAAACAAAGGTTGTTGTCAATGTTTGTAGGGACATATAGTCCCGACATTTTGAATAATATCGTCGTCTGGGATATTCCCTAATTTGAGCCGCAACCCTCCTCCCCCGCGCTTGTTTAAGGCCACTGTAACAACAACGTCCAATTCATTGTCGGATCTCATTTTGGAATGCTTTGCATAATCTGCCCAACTTCATTAAGAAATGTCGAAGCGTTATAGAACATCAGCAGCATTTAGAACACAACATGCATCATTGGCCATGGAGGGTCCTCTCAGGACTACATTTAGTTTCCCGTCAGGAGCAGCTATTGATGAAAAATCAACAACTTCTGATAACTGACGTTTTAGAGCATGCAGTGACTCGACAATGGGTAAATTTAGCTGATGTCTGATCTCCACACCGTTAAATTTTTTTCTCTCTGTAATATTAAAACCCCGCGAACCTCCAGCCTTATGCATGAGAATCAGACAAGTCTATGCTGTAGTGATGGCTTTGTCCAGTTGTTTTGGAGTCAAATTGAATATTTTGTCTCTCAGACACAGAACTACCCCTTGTGTGCGAAGGGTGAGACGCACCTGTCTGTGAAGTGTGAACGGAGTTTGTCTGTGAAGTGAGAGAGAGATCTGCACAGGGGGTCCTGCATATGCGAGGGGAGAGGGAACTGAGTCCTCTGGTTCAATATAATCTGAGACGTTCCCCTTCAAAATACCTAAGTTATGCAAATGATGAAGACTTTGTGCAGCGAACATATCCATATCACAGACACCATCATCAAAACAACTTACTAAATGGGACAGAGATCATATGCTACCGATGCATCCCAGAGCTGCTCTTCTACAGATTCTAAACCTGATTGGATGACATTACGATTAAATTTGTTCATTACATCTGAGATACTAGAGAAATCCAATTCATCATAATCACTTTCGGCGCTTGTTACAGGGGAGACTCGTTTTTGGTGAAATGATTTGCACAGGCGTTTTTGACTCATGATTAAAAATGCAGCTAAAACAGAATTGGGGAAAAAATCAGGAACAGTATAAACTCTTAGGCTTTTGAATTTTCTAACATATGGTCTAATTTAGCGCTTAACTCTAAATGTTCATTCCTAAGTCGCAGACTCTCCTTTCTAATCTGTTGATGCGTTTTTAGTATTAAAAACACTACCTGGGTAGAATTCTTAACAACTATACAAATTGGCTTTACAGAGTCTAACCAATTGCTGATACACTCGTGCAGGCAACGTTAGCATAGGCTGTTGTGTAGGATGTTTGTCATTGACAGAGAGAGAAGGCTGTTTGCTCCTCAGGGAAACCACAAGCATGCCAAGAGTATAGTTCATCTTCGGTCCATCGACACTGCGTCGGTCCGCCACACCTCACCCCGCCTGGAGTGCCTTGCTTCATAGAAAAGGGCTAATGTGTCCTGTGTGCCGGCGTGCTTGTATAAACCTCCGGTTGCGCCGTCACACGCTACCGTTCTAGCAACACCAATAGGATTGGAGTAGTTTTATTCATGATTTCAGCCCTGCCACGCCCAGAGGCGTTCCCGTAGTGTCGTCACTGACGCAGTGTCTCGTTCCCCTTCTCGGGGAACAAGGGTTACATACGTAACCCGAGACGTTTCATGAGAAAAACATAACAACAGTTTAAAGTTGTTAGTAGGAATAATGTGACTGAATAAAATTTTAGGTTGGTAAAAAAAGATACACAAAAGATGACATGCATACAAAAATTCTCAGATGTTTAATGATTCATTTAAAAGTAAATGATAAAGTCTCCCCACTTTATCCAACACTGTCAGGTTGTATGGGACAGGTCTGTAAATTAGATTTTAATAAATGTTTGAGACTGTTACAACCATAATGTTATTAATCTCTAGTACACAGACCGTATACATGCATTTAAAAGCAAAAAAATTATGTTACATCATGAACGACTGAATTATAACACTAATTAGAGTCAAGTAATTTAACAAACTACAGGACTATTCTGTGATGTCACACCATTCACAACCTTTTGCATCATATCCAATAGACATTCAGAACATCACAACAACAATTGTCGTGATTGGTTTACAAAATTAACCATGTACAGTAGTATGCCCACATGTACAAGCATGCCACTCAACCTGGCAGCCCACTATACATGAATTTACCTATGAAAAGCTTACCATCATGAGCCGGTCGTTCTCCGTCAAATAAATGATGTCTTCTGTAATACAATAAACAGCTTATATGATGTTACATTCTCCGAGTTTGTATTAAAACACATTAGGCTACTAGTCAACAATACATAAATATGAAACCCTTTTTACCTAAAAAATGAGCTACCGCTGTCTCCTGCCTTCCGCATCACGTGATGAAACATCCACACGTTCAGAGCAGCTTGAAAGACACTTTTTTTAAAAAGAAAATCAGATAAAATAGCCAATACGATAATACACCAACATAATTAATTTGAGGGGTTTAAATTACCAGCAACAAGAGCCATCTTGGATAGGATCTGAAGTGAAACAGCAGCAACAGCAAAATGCACCAGAGGTTCCGAAAGTGAAGCCTTTCAGGGATGTCTTTATCCCATCTTATACCCCCAAAAACACATCCTACTTTCACACATATTTATGACCTTTATTACCTCAAACCCCATTCGCATCGAGACACAGGGGAAAGGGGAGTCCTTAGAATTAGTATGATAGATATATATAAATAGTGTTCTAAATATACATAGACCCTTGTGTCATAATTTATGAATTAGAATTTTATCTATCAACACTTATAAGAAATAGATCTAATCTGTTCAATCTCATAGTAGCCCTTTTATATAAACGTTGTGAAAAACGATACACGCGAACCGCAGACTAGTTGAGGCATGTCCCCGAAGGGGGTGTCACCGGGGACATGTCCCCAAACAAATGTTTTAGATAAAGGATGGATTTAAATAATCACCATTTGATT